TTTGGTTGCAAAAGTGAGCATCTATTACACTGTAGCGTTATGGGATTTGTTACGCTGCGGGTAGTGACTTTGGTGACCGCCAAGTTGTGTCCTGATGGCCTTCACTTTATTACTATTTATTTTATTTCTATATATATTATTATTTCTACATTTCTATCTATATATAAAATATTAATTTATATTTATATGTATAACACGATATATTTCTATATTAATATATTAAATATACTATTTTATAAATAATGCATTCTGTAATATACATTTGCTATTACATATAGTGATATTWGTATATTATTACGAATTTTTATGATTGTCATTTATTTATCATTGAGGTGGCATTAAAGCTGGGTTATTTTAAGTGGAGTAGATGATCACAAGTCTGAATGCAGGCAAAAAGATGCTTGTGAAGAATTGCCCTGGTAGCTGTGGTAGAACTCATTTTCTTCTTAAAAAAAAAAGTAAAATATGAAGAGTGAAATTCTGTCTTTATTTCATGCCATGCTAACAGAATATATTTGATTGTTACTGTAATTATTGGGCACTGCTACACTTGTCACTGTTACCTTCATGTGGTTATTTTGTTTAAAGATAAAAGKTGAAGAGGTTGACAAGATCAACGTCTCCCTCACAGGATTTAATACCTGTACGGGTATTTAGATTATAGTGATAATTAATGTGTGTGGTACCTGTATGTGTATATATGTGTGCTGGTATTAAATCATACAATGGTGATTAATAAATGTAATGCCTGTACGGGTATTTAGATTATAGTGATAATTAATGTGTGTGGTACTTGTATGTGTATATATGTGTGCTGGTATTAAATCATACAATGGTGATTAATAAATGTAATGCCTGTACAGGTATTAAATCATAGTGGCAATGTTTATGTTTAATTCCTGTATAGATATTAAATTTTGCAGTGATAAGGTTAATACTTGTTCAGGTTTTGAATGATCAGGGATAACTAATAACAGGTGAGGAGAGGGAGCCATTGTTCCCTGTCCCTGTGCCCAGACAGTTCTCCTTTTCTTTAGCTAGCTGGAAAACCTGCAGCCTGAGATTMAGGAAATCGCCAAGCGCCTTCGCTATGAAGTTTCAGTGCGTGGAAAACAGCTGGGCTGGTCTGAAAAGGTGGCCAGGTACGAGGGGATTGTCCACACTTCCTGAATCCGTTCTGGCCCAAAGCTTAAGTTTTCTTTCCCTTCCTATGATTTATTTCTTTATTCTATTCCCATTCAGATGTTGTCCATTTTAAAGCTCTGACCTTTTCCTCTCCCAAAGGTTCCACTTTTCGAAGAACATGCGGAGGMTCGTCACGGAGCTGTACATCCGTGACAACTGCCACCCGTTCAAAGCCACGCTGCTGCTGTGGGTGCAGGTCCCCATGTGGGTGTGCGTGTCCCTGGCTCTGCGCAACTGCAGCGTCGGTGCTGTGAGCTCAGCAGGTGCTGCATCTGATCTTATATAATTGTCACTTCTTATCCTCTCACTGCTTTCACAGACACCTGCTTGGTTAAAGAACATAATATCCTGAGCTTGATGTATATTGATGGTCAGCTAGTGAATTTTTAAACTTCATATATTATAATTCATATAGAAAGTAGTCTATGTAATCTAATAAATAATGTAGAAATTAATCTAATTAATTAATATAATAAATAATTAATATAGTTTGAAATTAGTTTTAGTCTGATATAGGATTATCTAATACTAATATTACACTGCTAATATTATCTAATACTAATATTACAATACTAATATTACATGTCATATATTACATATAACATTACTACAATACTAGTATTACATGTCACAGCACACTCACTTTTAATTGCATTTTTTTCTTCCATGTGAAATAAACCCTCACTCATTCGCCTTGTCTTTTAAATAAAAAAAAGTAGTGATTTTTTTTAGACAAGAGTTTACAGTTTGTTCTTTTAAGCAAAAATGTAGCTAGTCATACAGTTACTAAGAAAAACGTAATGGTTTCGAAACCAGGAAATAAACACTGTAGGTTATTGCATTCTTATTTTYCTCGTTGACTTGTAAAATATTTGAGATCAAAGTAGTTTTTATCACAGATGTAYCTGTCAGTGGCTGTCGTGAGCTAAGCTGGGTTTCAGCTTATATCTCTCACTTCTCTTACTTATATTGGTAGCAGAATGTTAAAACAACAAATTCTGCTTTAATTGTATTTAGCATGTAGATAAAAAATACCTAGAAATTCGTGTGCTTTGATTTAACACATGGTACAGTTCTGACTCACTTGAGACAGCAAATTATACTGAATTGTGTGCTTTTCTTTGAATTTTTCTTGTAGTACAAGAACAGTTTTCATCAGGAGGAGCACTGTGGTTTACAGACCTCACAGCACCTGATTCCACATGGATTTTGCCAGTTTCCCTGGGGCTGGTGAATTTGCTGGTGGTGGAGGTAMGTTGGTGGAATAAAACATCAGTGGTGACTGAAAAGGGCTTGCACATAAAGGTGGCTGCAGATGCTTTAAATGCAATGGGCAGAAGTGAAAAATAATCTGCTCTGTGTGTTTTAATGTGTAGGTGTCTTGTTAGGATTCCACAAAGTCTGTTGTGATATGTCTCAGACCTACCTGAGCTTCAGTAATATTGTCTTGACTAAAGTTTCTTTCAGAGTGCTGCCCTAATGAGCTTTTTGGGTGTTAATGCTCTGTTTGGTCATTTCAAAAAGAGCCTGTTTATAACTGTGAGTTTCTCCTCTTTCAGATCTTTGCTTCCCAAAAGAAAGTGCAAGTTTCCCGGTTCCAGAAGCTCGTGACAAACCTGTTCCGCGTGGTGTCCGTGGTGATGATCCCTATTGCTGCCACAGTGCCCTCTGTGAGTACCGAGGTGACCTCTGGGTCTTCACCTGGGACTATTCTGGTGCTTAAAGGACAGCCTAAATGCCTGAGGTGTTTTGTATTTTATTGCTGTGTGCTTCAAAACAAACCAGATGCTTTGTCTGTGTGTATGTTTAAATCTTGATGCTTTTGGAATATTTTTGTTCAAGAGGAAACGGTTTGCAAACTTGATAGGAGTTAATGTCCTTTGTGTAGCCTGGAAAAGGAGAGGAAAACTTTATGCAAGGGTACATAGGCATATGTTTGTTAACTGGAAASCAGTGTAGTTCTTAAATTAGGAATTTGTCCGTGTCTTCCTTCAAACACTTGTCATTTTTACCAGGTTTTCTACCACAGAGTACTCTTAGCAAAAATAAAGTGTCTGGTTGTTTGGCTCATTCAATTATAGTTTCAAATACAGAGGTTGAAGCAAGTTTAAAATGAATTAATTTTAGAACTGTCAGGCCTCAGTGTAGRTGACACTTTTTCCCAGAAGAGTTCAGAGCCAGGCAGTTACATTTCACATGGAAGCCATTATTGCAGATGAGAGGAGGAGTGTTTTAGGTGAGTTATTTTTACCAATTGCTGGGAGGAAGCCACAGCTGTGGCTGGGGAGGAACTGCCTCTCAGTGTGTTTTCCTTGCCTCAGGACTGACCTGTGCTTGCYTTGTTGCAGTCCATGGCGCTGTACTGGCTGTCCTCCAGCCTGGTGGGACTGTCCCACAGCCTCCTGCTGCRCTCTCCCCGCTTCCGCCGCCTCTGCTGCATTCCCAGAACCAGCTCGGACTCGGACACTCCCTACAGAGACATCGTGGCTGCCTTGGCTTCCAAATACAGCCCTAGGAAATGACACCATGAACTGCACGAGAGCTGTCCCACGAGCCAACTGGTGCTGCTTAGTGAGATGTACTTATGTGCTCTGTATTKATTTTACAAATAAAACACTGGCTGGCCAGAAAGAACGATTGGTCAGCAAAAATGTGTCTTAACTGGGAAGCTTTGTTTCAAGGGTGGTTGTTGCAGTTGCAGGAGTCCAGAAATCCAGGTTTGTCTCCTGAGTTCTCRTAAGAAATTTTGCAGGTGAGTGTTGAACACAACATCAATGGTGCCTCTTTTTTATTGTAAGTCCTGAAGGTGAAGTTGTTTGGGGTTTTTTTTTATTAAAATGATCATAAATTAGTTATTTATTTTAACTTTTAAAACGATTACAAGCTACTGCTGTGGTGTAAACTAGCAAAAAATCAGAAGCAGAATTTTTAATGCAGACTTGGAAGCATTTATTTGAATTGTTGTGATAGGCTAGTGAAACTTTACAGATAGGGCTGAGATGCACTTTCTGACTAAAATCAGCAGTTTAGAAGAAAAAGGGCACATGTCATTGTGCTGATAACACTGCACTTTACCTTTGGAGATCTTTCACTGATGTCTTTTACTGTTTTCACKGTTAAGAATCTCAGAACATCAGTGATAGGATTATTTCTGGATGCTGCCAGGATGTTYTTTACCAAAAAAMCTCCCCAAAACAGGTGTGAAACTGMARTTTAKGCRGCAAAAAGCATCTCATCTAATGGCATCTAACAATTCAAAACCCACAGGTAACGAGATCAGAACGTATGTGATAAARCCCTTTCCAGGTCTGCATTACTGGTGGGATAATGTTTTAGATTTTAAAGGGTCTTACGRATTTCTCTGAATGTCATATTGTCGTTTTGCCTCAGCTGAAGGTGATGGAAAAAGATTCTACGTAAGAGAGTGAATTTTTGTTTGGGAAGATGGCGGTAGAGGGAGCTGGTGCTCCATGCAGTGTCGAGGAAAGTCACCTTCCTGAGCAGTCTCACCTGAGGGGTTTACATTCCCAGCCTGGGAACAGGGCAGGCTGACAACAACTGTATTACAACAGCCTTTTTTTGTAGTAAAAAAGTAACGTGACATGTCATGGGAGGCATAAAGAGGGCCGTGAAACTGGTCACTGAAAAAAGGCCTCACAGTTCTGTCAGGACCCCAGGTGTTCAGGGCAGGAAGTTGGCTTTGTTAGATTTGCAGTTCTCTCTTTATTTAGTTTTATTTTATGCCTTTTTTTGCCTTGTAAAATTAAACCCAATACCTGCGAGTTCAAAGAGGGTAGGTTTCCTCCAGAAAGTGTATTTGGAGGTGAATTTCTTATGGCATTGATTTAGGTTTGGAAGAGGGTTGTTGCTACACTGCATATACCTAGGGGGAGCCTCAACTTAAGGAACTGAAATTAGGCAAGTACAAGTTCTCTGAATGAATTGTGTTCTGGCAGAACTCAAAATTGCTGAAATATCCTGGCTGGATAATAAATGTTCCATTCTTTGTCTTGAAGATGCAGTCTAAACTTCAAGAACAGGGCTGCTATGCTTGTTACCTTTGGTGGTGGTGTCCTGGAAAAGACATTGCATCCCCAAAGCTTGCCTCTGTTCTCAGCCATGCTAATGACTCTGTTCAGATACATTGGCCTAAAATCTTTGTCTCAGTGTTTGATGCTGTTTCTAGGAAAGAGGATCAGAGCTTTGCTSTTTGCCTTCCTATGGTGATGGAATTATTCTGTTTTCAGTCCGTGTTGATGAGACAATGATGGAGCAAAGGTACATCCAATGATCTGTGTCAGGTCAAATGAATCTTTGTTAACTGTGGAAGGGCCAAGGACGGTTTCTGGAGAAGAAATCAGAAAAAAACTGTTGCTGTGTTCTCTGAGGAATCCAACTGAAGTGTCTTAAGCCTGTACAATATTCTTTGTGAATGACACTTTATTTAAGTAATGTTATCTATAACTCTGTWTGGCTTAACTGTGTCCCCACCTCTCCTGTTTGCTTCCTGTTCTGGTTTTGCTGAAATCAAGAAATTGTAAGTGAGTGACCTAAAGCTTGTAGTAATAAAAGAATTGTGGTTTTAGAAAGGAGGGCAGTTTCCTCCCTAACTTCCCTGTGATTGTTAGCCTGAAATACTGTGGGTGAGGTGAGTTGGCCCATGTCTGATTCAGGAATGAGATGTCAGTATGATCCAACACCTTTTACAGGGTGCTGGAGGGGATGCYGCTGTCTGCCAGAGAATTTGACACCTTGCCAGTCCACCTGGTTGTTCTTTGGGGTTGTTTAGTGGGGAATCAAAACTCTTTATCCAAAATCTGAGTTRCTAGGGTGGATTCCTTGAAGTGCAAGAATTTTTTTCAAGGGCTAAGTGTCATTTTTGGCGCAGTTCCATGGTTTCTGGAAAGAAAAAAAAGTGTTGAAGTACTGTTGAGTGCACTGCTGTACACACGGGGGTGCTCCAGCTCCTGTCAGCTGAAGGGCTGCCACTTTCTAAAATCCAGGACAGGCAGGCAAGCACTGGACTAAAACATTTTTCTTCCTCTGTCTTTCATCTTGATGCTGTTTCAGAACTTAATCAGGCTGTCCTTCACAGTGTACACTTCTTTTCCACCTCGCTGCCGTGCCCCTTTGAAGTAACCCAGTGTTCAACACTGCTGAGCTCGAAAATAATGAAAAGAACTCACTTGCTGCTCCCTCTTTGTGGCTGAGGATGCCAAAGGGAAATGGGCAGGTGTCAGAACAATCCCTGGTTGTCTTTGCAAAGCCCTCCATTTGTGCAGCCTTGTGACCAGCTGGCAGCAGGATTCTTCCTTTTTCACTTGATATTTTTAAACTACCTGTATTTAATTAATCTGACTGATTTCTAATGGTAAATAAGATATTCTTCATTCATTTGAAGCTCAGAATAGTGCTAAAAGTAACAGCAGCTGCTGCTTTCCTAAGTGCGGTGTTTTGCTCTATTTTCTAAGTTTCAGGGATCACAAATTCAGAAYAAGGGATTGGTGCTTTACATCAATGGCACCTTGATGATTTTGATCCATTTTTGCAGCACCCAACTGTGGTGTAATGGGCTTTGGGTTTCAGTAGAGATGTTTMAATAAGCCTGTGTAAATTAGGTTCATCATTAGGGTGAGTGCACACATCCATATGTTCCTTTATTTAAGGAGTTGAGCTTTGTGGACTCATTTGTCAAGGTACCTGTTAATAATTTAATTGCCTTAATTAGCTGTGCATTTGGAGTAATGGTAAATAACTTTTTGTGGCCTGCTTTACTTAATACARTCTCCTACTTTTGTTTGAAAGTGGGAAGGAAGAGACCACTACTGCCTTATTTGCAGGGACTGGGCTTCTGGATGAAAGCTCCCAGAATCCCTGGTACTCAAATCCCTTATGAAAATAAGGGGTATTGTGCTGCATGCTCTGAGGCTTAATATTACCTGGCCTTTTCAGGCTATGAGAGAGGTAGGGAAAACATTTCACTGTGCCAAGTGCCTTGCCTTCCTGTAGGAAATCACACTTCTGTATCCACTCTTGAGCMGTAAAAAAGATGCTTTTGGTACTTGTTACTGAGAACAGCTGAGAACTCAGGATGCTGTCACAAACTTGATTTTGGCTTTACAAGTCCAAGGCTCAAATGTGTGAAATGGAGGGGACAGAAAGGTTGAAAAGCCACTTGGAATGTCAATGGCTGCCACACACAGTGTAAYGGGAAGAATGTTAATTGGAAACAAATGCCAGCCTTCAGCATCATCCATTCCTGAGGAAAAGGGCCTTTTGGATTCAGGAGTTTGGACAGGGTTATGTTCATTTTCAATTTTCTGTGGGGCTGTTGGTCAGTGGTGTMCAGTTGTTCCAGAGAGGGTAGAATGCAAACCTGTGGTAAATGATAGATCCTTGGAAGTGCAAGAGGGCGAGAATGTCTTCAGATCATAATTAAAACRTGTCCTTGCAGCCAAGTAAAGCAAGCCAAGAAGTGCTTTTCCACTCTTGCGTTTTAAAATGACCTGAGATGGGCTAGGAATCTTCAGGTAGAATCTTAGTAAGTTTTGAAAAACTTAAACTTGAGCAGGGGAGATCATCTGCCTGGCTGTGGTCCTCCTTCCTATTTGAGGGCTGTGATGGATTCCCGTTTGTCCTTGTGTGTGTTTGTCACTTTGGGAGCGTGTTTAGCAAAACTATGAACTGTGAACTCTTTCTGACAGGATAACATTTAAAATATAGATTTCCTGGAAGTTTTGAGAGGCTGGATTTGATTTCACAGGCTTAGTGGAGGTACCAGAGCACTCTCAAGTGCAATGATTTTCTTTCAACACCTGAGTTTGAAGAGAAAACTGACCTCTCTCCTGCTGATAGAGGTTTATCAAGCATACCTTAGWGGGAGCTGCTGCAGGCAGAGAACATTTTCTTCTGGACAAATTCGTGACCTTGARCCCTTTCTGTCTAGAAAATAAATGGTAAAATCTTCTACTGGGGGAAATCAGTTGCTTAGAAATGTATCTAATAAAATATAAATAGTGGCAGTACTCTCTAGGCATTTTATTTCTGCCTTGAGGAAGAGTTGGAAATTGGAAGCTGGCACAGAGGAACTTTTTGGAAGTTTCATATCAATGTAGCCTAAACCTTGTGGGTACAACTAAAGGGATTTGACTTTAGATTTAGTTTAGAACTCCAGYTCTTTGTGCATTTTGTTAAAGTCCAGCTGGCCACATAATGAAACAAGATATTTTTTTGAAGGTTCTGTAAAGAGGYACTTGATACTCACTCAGCTGTTTGGAAATATTTCTGTTTCTTATTTTTAGGAATTTCTTTAATGCATTGCCAGAGTTAYGGTTGAGCACTGGGTCCTTATTAACTTGTGTAAGTGGAGAAGGTGCAGCTTTGTCAGAAGGAAACTGGGGAGGGACTGAAAGTGGGTCCATTGATTCCCAAGTGGGGCCATTTGCCATGAGTCTCTGATTTTCCTCAGTAATCACTGTGCAGTTCATGGTTTTTGTTTCATKACTGCCTAAGTGTTTGCTCCAGAGTGCAACTAATAATTCTGTTGTATTTTACAAAGTAAACAAGCTCTGATTAATTTGCTAATAAAAGCTTTGCTAGTCTTGCATTTTTCCACTTTAAATGCTCTTGCTGGAAGGCCAAGAGATAAGCTTTGTTTGGAGATATTTAGAGTCATGATTTCAGCAATAAGCCCCCAGAGACTGACTATGCACATGACAACAATTTTTTACAAAATATGTGGTGACCTTTTCCCCTTCAGATGCAGATGGCTTAGAGTGAACTCATTGTAGAATTGGAGCAAATAGGAGCAGTGATGCTCCTGTGTTAATGCAGCATAGCTGGTCCTGCAGGTAACTCTGGTTGGCAAGGGCATGGTTTAGTTATTCCCCAGTGTTATTTAGTTATTCCCCAGTGTTTGCAGCGTGGTGGTGTTGAGATGAACATGTCCTACTGGGGCACAGTGTAGCTGTCAGACTGTGAGATCTCAGAGCTTTGGCTGTTTGCTGTTCCAGTGCTGCCAGCTCCCCAAGGACTGGATCCAAAACAAGAATAGRCTGGCTCGGGTGTGATTTGCTGTCACAAGCTGATTGCTCTTGTGGCAATGCAGAATTTGTATTGAAGATGGGTGGAGAATCAGACTGAATTGCAGAACTGAGGCCTTTATCACTAAAAAGGTTCTAAAAATCCTAAAGACAGAGAAA